CCTGAAAAAGTGTGGGAAAGGGTTCATTTGGATTTAGCTGGACCAGTTGATGGAGTAATGTGGTTAGTAGGGATTGACGCGCTATCTAAGTGGGCAGAAGTTGAATGTTTAAGAACAACGACTTCAACTGCCATAATTCAAAGATTAAGATCGTGGATGAGTAGGTATGGAATACCATCACAAGTAGTAACTGACAACGGGCCACAGTTTGTCTCTACTGAAATGGAAGCATTTTTCAAGAGACATTCAATTCGACATATAAGAACTACTCCTTATCATCCTAGAAGTAATGGCTTAGTTGAACGTCTAATAGGGACTTTGAAAAGGCGTTACAGAACAACAAAACAAGAAATTAATGATTCTTCATTGGCATTGCAAAATGTGTTGTTCAGTTACAGAAATGCCCCACAAAAAACAACAGGACGAGCCCCTGCAGAGTTGTTTCTTGGTCGAAGAATGCCAACTATGTTGGACAACATGAAACCAAACCTTAGACAACAATTAGATCTGAAAATTTGGAAGGAACAACAAAATCCAACTCAAAAGAAAACCTTAAGAGCATTCAGTGAAGGGGAAGAAGTATGGATTAAAAAAGAGAATAACCCTGGTTGGATAGCAGGAACCATAGTCAAACGCAATGGCTTATACTCGTATGAAGTCATGTGTGGTGGAGTGATAAAAAGAAAACATTCGGATCAACTGCGAAGAAGAGAAGGTGCGGTAGACGATGAGGAGGGAAAAGTGTAATATATTGGAATCAGCTGATAATTTGGTTTTATGTTTATTATGAACATGTAAACAAATAATGTTATGTTTTGTTCTATGATTAAATGAGTTTAACTTAGTTCTTGATTTTATTTCAAAAGTGAACAGAAGTAACTAATCAATAGACCAACAATATGGCGATGCACGTCTCAATCGACTCAAACCACGATGTAGACGGTGTGGCATGCTCCGTTTTCACGTTTTTAACGCATGCGCGAGCAGTCAGTGGCGTCGCATGTTGCCCACGGCTAATAGGCTCCATATACTGCAATGCCCCCCGACTGCCTGGACACTAAAACGGTCGCGACACATGTTGCCGGGCAAAATCACTCCCGGCAACACCTCGGGCAGCTTTTTCGGCGGCGCCACCGGTCTCTCCACGGCTAATAGGCACCATTTGACTCCATGCCTCTCTACACGTCCGACACCGGCGGCTCCACTAGCTGCGCCACATGTTGCTCACGGCTAATAGGGGCCTTAGTCACTAACAAGACTACAAGATCGCGCCACTCATCCTACACTCATCCTTCACTCATATTCGGGTTAAAATACGCACATACTGGCATCCCCATCTTAAATAATTGATAATTGATATTTTGAAATTTATTATTTATAAATTGTTTAAGCAAATAATTTCTTTATATAAAATAACTGACAAAACGTAGTTACAATGTCAAAATTCGGGAATCATCTCTATTTTTTTTTTGTAAAAGGTTTACTTATTATTTAATTTATTAACTTATAAGATTGTTGTCAATATTATATATTCATGCATATCCTTAGATTGGAGTATCACGGACGTTGGTGTGTTTTTAAACAATTTTTCTTTGAGGAATAACACGTGAATTTACGAAGAATTTTAAATTAGTTGTCTGACCTACTGCAAGGCAGCATAGCTGTGAATTATAAAATTTCCTTTGCGAAAGCTAAAGTACAAGAGCGTAAACTAGAATTTACAGCCTAATAAAGTTAAAAGAGATTGCTTCATAAAGTCAACACGTACTGAAGGCTTTATGTACCACCACTACGTTAATGTCAATGGGACTTAGACAATTCTCATAGGAGCTATGTGTAGATTTAAACCACGTTCGATCATCTTCTTGCTATACAAATAAAGCACTTTCCTGTCTGACCATGGTAATTAATTAATATTCTTTTAGTTGTTTTTGCTTAGGATGAAGCTCAATATTAACAGAACTTCTTGGTGTTATTAAATTACCTGAAAGCACAAAAATACGTCAAAAAACACTTGTAATATATTTTTCCTACAGTTACCTAACAATGTACATGTTCTCTCACTGATTTGAGAAAGCAAAGTGGCCAATTCGCTCATCAGTGAGACAATGTTAACACTCTAATTACTTTGTCTCACTCCAGATTTTCAACGTGAAGGCACGAAATAGTGAGCGCGTAACATGCAGGCAACGCCGTATGCGCGCGAAATACGTTGGCAGCACTGGCTGTAAATCAGCTGGTCAGCTGTTAGTTGTACTGTTGTATTTGTCACTTCACATTAAATGTTATATTAAAAGTTCACTTCTGTGTAAAAATAGGTTATGTTTCTTCACCAATTTATTTGTTTTATGGTAACTGTAGGAAAAGTATAATGTGCAACTCGAGTTCAAAGTACAATTGCCTCACTCGAGAAACCATTCCTCACTCGCCTGCGGCTCGTGAGTAAGGATTTCTCTCGAGTGAGTCAATTGCTCACTTTTCTCACTAGTTGCACAAATAACTATACACTCATACTGTTTATTTACTAGACGGTAAATAAATATAACAAATTTGCTGTGGTGATCGATTTCGATTGGACACTCTCTAATCACTCTCTTATCATCAGAGAGAGATTCGCTTATTGGGTCTGATGATTGGAGTGTCCAATCGAAATCGATCACAACAAACAGTATGAGTGTAAATATATTATTACAAGAGTTATTTGATGTATTTTTTGTACTTTGAGAGAGTATGTCAACATTCTTTCTTTAAAGAATAAATGCGAAATATATTTTTAATAAACACTTAAAAAAGCTGGATTGTACTCGTATTGTTTTCCTTTGAAAGCTTATGTTTTCAACACATTTTCTAATTTAGATATTAAAAGTTTGTTTCGCCATTTGCATAGCCATTTTCCTAACTATGACTTTTGGATCCTATTTTATAATTCGTCCATGACATTTAAAAGCGAATACTGTATATTGTTAGACCCAGATGTTTAAAACAATTATTTATTTTACTGGAAACTCATACAACTGGTAACGTTAAGTGACATAAGCTGCACTGTTTAATATGGCTTAATTTTAAGGGGTTTTATCATGTTAAATTAGGCAAAATATAAATTTATGTTTGTATATAGGCTACGCGTGTATGTTTGAAAAAAAATCATTAATTTTGTGAATGTTGACCTATGGCAATCTATCCAAACCTGTAAACTAATGGATTCCGAACATTAATTTTAGTCTATACCATATACAGAGTTAGACCATTTACTACACCAATTTTAGAACCATTGGCTAGTTAGTAATAATATTTATTTATTAGTAAAAAATTGTAAGGAACCAAAAGTAAAGTTGTGTACTATCTTCATCTTTCCCATAAAGTTTGAAATTAGTGATGTGTTATTGTTTATTTTTTTAGTGTTGTTGTAATTTTGTAACTCAGTTTTCTATTTTTTTTATTTTTTTTTAATGACTAACCGTAAACCTATAGCAAGGTATCTAATCAACTTCGCTCAATATGTTTTAAGTGAAAGGTTATTCCTTTCCGATTCAAGATTTTCAAATGACAGCAATTTACTGTAATATCGGATCCATCAAAACGTCATTTTTTCTTTCATTACTCAAGGTGTAAGTAGATTACAGTAAAGAGTACGTGTTTATCCTTTTATTTATTCCAATTACCTGTGGTGTAATAGTATGCATATTTTATCACCTATAATATTTATAGTGTTAGTCGTGCATTTCATCCAAAGGAAATAACTATGTTCAATTTTTATTATTATTAAATTTCGAGGTTGCATTCAGTGATTTTGTTGTTGTTTACTATTATTAATAAAACAACCAAAGCGTTCCTAAGTAAGCCTATACACAGGGTTTTAGTTTTATGAAACTCGTATAGCCATGAAACTGTATAGTTGTACATCCTGTTTACCAATACAGTGACTGAACTATTTTTCTTAAGCGGAACAATGCCAACAGTTAAAACTACTCGATATGTCAAATTAGGGGTTAAAAATACATCTGAACAAATTTCCATTTTTGAACTATTATGAACATTACTAATTCAATTGCAATATTCACTGTCTCAGTCAACAGAATCAACTGTGAATGTTATAGTTGACTAAAGATAATCTCATTCAGAGGTAATCGCTGGAAATGATTGCTGAACTTAACATCCCTTTGATTGGCAAACTTAGTACAGTAGTGAATTCACTTGTGGAAATCATTTGTAAATGTTAAGTGATACTCTGAATGAAATATCTATCACGCTAACAAAAACAAAATCGAACAAACATAATTAAAACACGTTACCTAAGAATTGTGAGTAGTTCATCTACAAATCTATATTGACTCCTTAAGGATACTTCATATGTTGGAAAAATAAGCCTATAAACGAGGACGCGAAGTAAATTTATCAATTATAATTTTAGGTTGTAATACAAGTTTTTGCATATTTAGGTAGAAATGCATATTTGGTACCATTTTCCTGAAACCTTTTACCTCTATTTGTGGGAAAAGTAATTTCATCATAATCATAACGTGACACATTAATCAGTTGCAAATAATAACCAAACTTTCGTCCTCAACTTCATTACACTTTTCCATTCAACTCATCTCTTAAGATCCCTTAGAGCCTAGAGGTTCTAACTTATAAAACAATTTGAAAAATACAATGAAAATCTCACAGTATACTAGATAATTATTTAAATTACAATCTCTTTGGTATTTGAAAAAAATGTTTTGAGATGGTAAATAACTCTTCAGCGGCTGTTTACGAATAACTAAATTAACATTGCTCTTATGACGGTCAAATCCAAGATGGCCATTGGCTTCCATGAACTCCCTTGGAAATCAATTCAAAACAACACGGACAATTTTTAATCTCATGGTATAAAATATATTTAAACTATAATCACTTTGAAGATTGAAATACGATTTTTGGATGATAATTAACCCTTCAGCGGCTGTTTTAAGTTATCCAAGATGGCCGCTAGCATCAAAGGACTCTGAACTACTCACCACAGAGCGGACGGCAAGTTCGAACGTGAACCATGCGTTGCAGGCAAGTTCGACATAGAAGAAGGCGTCGTGGGGATCTGTGCGCTCCTTCTCCAGGGTCCAGACGATGGTGTGGTTAGGCATGGCTATGGTGCGGTTGCGGATAGTAGGAACCCGCATGTCAGGGTGAGTTTTGAGGGCGAAGGACAAGACGGACACGCAGATGAAGAACACCGAGACTACCGCCACCACCTGTAACATGACCGGTGAAATTGGCGGGAAATTATCAGCTGATGATGCTAAAAAGTGTGTTTACATAAAACGCAGTAGTAATACAAATGACGTTACAATACAAAATGAAACAGAATGATTAAAGCTTCCTTGGTGCAAGAATATCAGTTGAGATCAATGAGCTAAGACCTCAAATTGAAGAAGGCGTCCGTTTATTTATTTCAATGTATGTCATTGATTTCAATGGGAAATTATACAAATAAACTGTAAAAAAATATGTGAATATAAGAGACAGCTTAAGGTGATCAGTTATAAAACTGACAGAAGGATTTATATCAAATTCTTGAAGCTCTAGAGATCGCGTGAATCTTTAAGTAATAAGACCAGTATACTAAGGCATGGCTACATGTTAACTATATAATTATATAACTAAGAAACAGAGATAGTATAACTATATAAATTTAGGGAATTAATATAGAAAGATAATTTTTGGAAATTTTAGGTATTAAACATACTTAATTAAACTATACACTTTAACTGATAATGGATTTGCATGTATAAGTAACAGAACTAATAATTTATTTCATTGTTTTGTTATAATGTTCAGTTATATATTGTATATATTTATATATATATAATTATTATTATTATTATATATTATTATTTATATATTCATATATATAATTCATTTATATATTGTAATACTCTGTAAAGTTCTTTTTACATGATTAATGCTACAGAGTAATTGGCATGTGCTGTTTTGTAGCATTGGAAAATAAAAAAAATAAATAAACAAATAAAATAATATTAATGCTTAGTTATGATCAATGTTCGTTGTTTTATATGTGACAAACATACTAGGTAATTATTTTGTTACGGTAATTTTAGATTACCGTGGATAATAAAACAATCATTTAATAGTGTAAATAAGGAAAAGAAAAAGCCAAAATAGTGTTTTTGCTGAGTTTGGCGGTGTTAAGGCTATGATTGGAAGATCAGACTAAGCCAATTACTGGGGGTTATGATTAGATCTTACTCTCGTAGGACTGCTGTTGCCCTGTTGTCGACATTTTGACCCACTCTGACATTTTTCTGACAGTTACAAAAACTTTTCTCTAGGTCTATTGGTATATTCAGTGGTTAATACTCACTTGATTGGTTTTGAGCATTACAAATTTACAAAATATATTTAAATGCTCCGTTTATGATTTTGAATACATTTATTGTTTAGGGAAATAATTCCTGAAGACTATCAAATTATATTATAGTTGATTTGTTTTGTATAGCTATGTTTAACAGATTTCAAAACTGTGCGTGTCGATGTGGAATTAATAGTTAGTTAGTAGTTTCTTAACCTCTTCTTTGGGGGGGGGGGGGGGTTGGTCTAGTGGTAGAGCGTGTTACTTTAATGCCAAAGGTCCTAGGTTCAGATCCCACCGATCACTAATAGATTTATTCTATGTAATTATGCCGTGACCCTGAATGCAAGCGTGCAATTATCTTTGAAGCTATCTTTAAATTTCGACCTTAATGTCTAGGATGTAAAAGCTTAAATTAAGGAACGGAAAGATTTTATGAAGTATTCAATGGCTTCAGGTATGATACATATTTTTTTCATATATATATCACACAATTATGTAATTACCAAATCATAACAACGGGACAATATTGTTGAAAGATATATTTAACTGTAAGACGTAGGTTCAAATATTTATAAATAAGAAAACATTTATTAGGTGAGGAAAACGATCTTTGTATTAGAATCCCCATAATCGGTAACAACAGATAAAAATATAAAATGTTTGATATTTCAAACAGATCAAGTCTAAACACTTATACAAATGTGGTATGAAACAAACTTGTATTAAAATTGAATTGCTAACTTTATTTATATGATTGGATTAAATAAATAAGTGTCAAATCATGTCTGGCCATTTTAGACTATACGGTTACCTTCTTACCACATGTACTTACCACATGGTACATGTAATTTTGCTTATATTAGTTAATTATTTGGAGGGGGGGGGGTTTAGAAATCAAACTAATACACCCATTAGGGCATTAAATCACGTAAATGGATTTCGTAAACATATTTTCCCACCAGGTTGTCTAGAATATTCTTAAAATTTTTCTCCTCTGCCGATATTGAGTGACGGAATATTTCTGCTGACAGAACAGTATTGTAAAGTATTGGTACACATTTATTGGAAATTTTCAGCTACCTTTAACCTGGCTTCCAAACATTCTTTTACTAGAAGCATGTTTTAATGTGCAGTGCTAAACTGGCTTTTAAAAATAATTTTCGTAAAAGTGCATTGATCATTACGTATGAGAAGGAAATATGGGTATCTTTTTAAATTACTAAAAGAAACACGGAGAGAAAATTTTTCCTCTGATTGCCTTACTTTTGAACTACTGTGTTCAAAAAAAGTATTCTCTTTAGCTGATATTAAACGAACATTAAATTTTGAAAATGTATGCCTTGTGGTACAGGATGCTACAAATAACGCAAAGCATGGTTTCCAAATATTTAATAGATAAACCATTGTATATTTTCAAATAAAAAATAGGCAATTTAAAAACTGTCCTCATCCAAAAACCAAAATAACCCTTAATTGCCAAAGATACCTAGTATAATTTCATAAAAATAAAATCCGCCTCCCATTCATAGGAGACTATTCATCAACGGATTCCTTTAAAATACAATGCATGGTAAATAAATATTGAATGTAAAAATAGTTATTTTTATCCTTCGCCTTGGATGTCATGTTTTTTCTACTTATCCATTGACCAAAATGCGTATAATACTGTTCTGACAAAACTCTAAGCTAAATAAATGTTTTACAACGATCGTTAAAACATTAAAATTGCATACAAGTAAATCAGGGTTATAGAGAAAATATCGATTTGCCAGCAAGAGTCATTAATCCCAGCAAGTGTATACAATACTGGAGTAAAAACTGCTTTATGTGCAATAGCTGTCAAAACGTCATTTGTATTCGATCAAAATCTGTCATTCATTTGAAAAACAAGTTCGTCGCATTTATTTGGCTGTCTTAAATCAAATTAAATGACAATCGTGACATTGGTTCTTTCATAAAATAAAGGGGATTCTATTATAATTTATTATCGTTGCTTTCATTGATAGAAGTTAATTACTCATCTTTATTGTAAAACATTTCATACATAAAATGGTAAATATATTTGAAATGTTATTGATTAATTTTTATGGACACATTAAATAAGTTAACACAACATATCTGGTTGACTTTAAAGTCTATATTAGTGTAAGATACGTTACAATAATTCAATATATGAAATAAGTAAAATGCAATTTAAATTCATCAAGTATGTGATAAAATGTTGAACTGATAATTTTTAGACTCTGGTAAGTATTTTTCAGTCCAACTATAATAAAGAAATAATTGCTAGATATTTGATTTAAAATTATTTAGTTGTTGGTACGACAAATATGTTATAGCTACTACCCAGAGTATAAATGTGAATAAGTACGGTACCATCATAATAATTATAATGGTACTGTACTTATTCACAATTGACTAATTATTTTAATTAATAACTAATTACTTATTCATTGACTAAGTATTAGTATGTTTAATCTATGGTATTAGCCAATTAAACATCCTGTACTATTAAACCATATACCCTCAAATGCATCCTGATACCATCTCTTGTTGTTTGACGTGGTCTAAGAGCTATCAAGGCAGTTATACAAAGCACCATCCTATATAACCAGACTAGATGGTTATAGCATGTACTGTTGTATGTGTGATTGGTACTACATCATGACTACAGCATATTGGACATCAATATTTAAGGAAAAATCAAAGTTGGGAAGTTAATATTACGTCTTTGTGCTATGAACAATTCTTGTAACTAGTTCATGATCCATGTAGAATATTTATTTTGATGAACCCACATGATGTATGAGTAATCATGCAGTTAGTTAATGACTGTTAGTTATATCCTTTCAGGGCTGATCTGGGTTTTGATCAGGAATTGAAACATAAAGAACACCCATATTGGCTTATTTAAGCTACAATTCTGGTTTAATGTAACTTAAATATGCAAAGTTTTATTTTATAAATTACGCTGGTTGGAAATGTTATTTTAACTATCGGAGACATGTTTACACCATACCTATTTGTGCTCTAGCCAAATTTTACTTTATAGCCTTTTGTGTTTTATAATATATAAAAATATTACATGGATATTTTGATCGACGAAGATCTGCCCATAAAATAAATTAGGGCAATTATTTAAACAGATCACAAATATTTGTTTACAGCCTCTATTAGTTCCTAATAAACACTTAATCAGCAATTATAAGCTAAAGTTAACAGTTAGTTTCTAAAAAACTAAGTCTCAGGGACATATTGGAAAGATCTCTTATAGTTAATAGCATACAGTTATCTGGAATACTACTGCAATAACTATTTTATTAAATTTCACCATTATTTTAATTTGGTATTCATCGTGAGACTTTAATTTCTTTCAATTCAGTTATATAAATGGAGCTAATGTATTAGGTTTATTCAGAAGTTGTCAGGACTGCAGTAAAATGTTAAGTAACTTTAGATTCAACGGAATGAAGTTATTAAACTCATTCCATTCCAAGAATAACTTTCTTTTCAGCCCGAGGTGTCGAAGACAAGTTAAATGTCTTGCTGATTGCTGTTCATTCCAAATATTAATGTTATAGATATTAATATATCAATGCGAGTTAGTCAACCTAAGTTTGAAAGATATCGTATGACGATATCAATTTAAAGAAACGAATCTTTTCACTTTAGCTTTTAGTGTGGTTGTTGTTGTTGTTCATATATGAAAATATTTTCGTTTTTAATTATTTTTACTAATGTATTCACTAATAAATACAACAATATACAAAATAGACGATAACATGTTATTTGTTGTTACAAGAACATATTATGTTCATGTTATTTGGTAAATCTAAAACATATCCTTAATCGAACAAATGTTAAAATAAAAGTTGTGAA